CACATTTCGTTGTGGGGAGGGGGGGAGGAGAGATTGCATTATGGTTCTGTTTTGTTTTTGTTTGGGGGGGTTTTCTACGGGAGGGTTCCGGGGTTTATGGTTGGGGTTTTGGGTTGGGTTCCTTCCTCTTTCTTGTTGCAGCCTTGACTGGTGTGATATTTTCCATCCTCCATGTGCTCGTCTGTTTGTATCTTTTTGTCGTTAGCTAGTGTGTTGTTAGCCTAGGGGAGGTGGGTTTTCTTTCCTTTCCTCCTGGCTACAGTTGGTAGAGTGTTGGCGTGCTGTGCTCAGGGAATGCCCGGTGTGTTGAGTGTGACACGGGTCTAGCGTGCTCAGGCGTGTAAGTGTGTTGTTGTTAGTGAGCCGAGGCACCTCATGGATTAAATGATGCGTGTTCATGTCAATGTGTGTGTGCATTTGTATGTATGTGTGTGTGTGTTGTTCTCATATATATTGAAGCTTGAGATGTTTACGGAGGGTGGTTGCTTAGGTGGGCGGAGGGCTGGCTTGTCTATTTGGTACCCAGTGGAGAAAGTGCAAAGACAAAAGAAAGATGTCAGGAACAGGGGGAGGAATGAGTTGATAACGAACCATCGATTTCATTTGTCTTTACAAAGATTAGAATCAAGCAAACGCACAACATACGCGCTGGCAAACACGTACGTACGTACACACTACCGCCCCAACACATAAATGCCTTCAGACTTTCGACGTGCTGTTTGCGTCTATACGTCCAAGGTCACAGTCCTGCTAGTGGGTGGTTGGCGGGTGCTCTGGTATGGTTTGCTTCTTCTTTCCAATCAAACATCTATCATCCTTATAATCGATCTCTTCTCCTTCTTTTCTTTGCATGTTCTTCTCTTGTATCACCTTTAAACTTTAACCCTCAGCCTTTGTATGACCTCTTTGTATTGCAAGTCTAGTGCAGTCAACCTGTTTCCAAAATTAAACAGTCCCGCTTGTGTGAATGCATTCATTCATTCATTCACAGACAGGCCCCAAAGTTACATGTGTGTTTGCGTGTGTGTGTGTATGTTAGTACTAGTGTGTGTGTGTGTGTGTTAGTGCTAGTGTGTGTGTGTGTGGTGGAGGAGGGGAGGGAAAGAGCTGTGCAGAGACTGTGAGAGTTGTTGCTTCTGGAGTCGGACTGAATGGGTTTGGTTTGGCTTGTAAAAAGTGCAGGAAGGAAGGAAGGATATAGTGCGAGGTGGGATTTTGTGCAGCATAAGGGATAGAAAATGTGATGGGTCAGGGCTTGTTTTTTTATGGCGTTTATATTGGCATTGGTGGTGTGTGCATTTCCCTTTCGGAATATTTCAGCGAAAGATGGAGGGAGGCGATGGTCTCTCTTTCTCTCTGGTACACGTAAATTCATAAATGGCTTCTACATACAGACACACTGTGTACAGCTTAGTTCATACCCTGTTATAGTCTTCACACACACACACACACATGCCCACACACACACACACAATGCCCACACACACACACACACACACACACACACACACACACACACACCTGACACTATTCTGGTTTACCTTCATCCCCCAATGTGTTATTGGGGGGGGTTTTTGTGGTTTATTTTGCTGCTGAGAATATCGCGCGTGTGTTAAGCTCCCGGGGCGTCCTGTCCATCTTGTACCTGGGAGAGTGTCCACACACACCTGTTGTCCTGGGCTGTTGTTTAGGAGGCAGGCTGCGCAGCCCCCATGTCATGCACTTCATCTGATGCTGTTGATTTTACCTTGTATTTTGTACGCTACTCCCTCAGTCATGTTATACAATTCTCACCACATTCTTGGACAAAAAAAAAAAAAAAACATTTCACTGAATAGTTGAAATGCTTATATTAGTATACCTTTGTATTATTCTAAATGCTATACAAGACATCCATTTCTAGATCGACTGCAATTCAGTTTGTACGATTTTTACGATGTGTTATGGTTTTCGTTTTGTTTCCCCCCCCCCCTCCCAAGTGGTGCGAAGATAATGTGGTCTCAAACCTGTGTACATTTGTGGTCCCTTCTGTGGGGGGCTCGTTGTTTTGTTATGGGATTGTTTTTGTTTTGTTTTTTAATTCTGGCCATTGTGTGAGACGAGCAGGGTTGTCTGTGCCCGTGTCGCCAGAGGGCGCTCCTTAATGATTCACTTAATATTGATATCAGCTGTGCTCTTAGCCTGGAGGCTTGGTGGGTGGATGGATGTGTGTGCACGGGAACGAGAGAAGGAGTGAGTGAGGTGATGAGGTTGAATGCTGTCTGTGTATATATATATAGTGGAAGGGCGATTGAGGGAAGAAATAAATGTGTGGACGATGGTTAGTAAAGGGATGTTTGTTTGTGTGTTTGTGCCAGGTGGTAGATTTGTCTGTAGCGAAAGGAAGAACGTGGGAGTGCTAAATACTTCTCTTGTGCAAATTTCTGAGACTTTCTAATTACTGCTTCACAATTCACGAGTGTAGGCGTGCTTATACTTATATATATATGTGCATGTGGGTGTGAATGTATATATATATATCCATGTATGCTTGTGGATATGTATGTTGTGTATGTGTGTGCTTCCTCGTTTGTGTGTGCGTGTGAAGTCAGTCTGCCCGTCTATCAAAGTGAGACCCCCACCTACCTACAGTTTTGTAAGGGCTTGGATTGAACCAACCTGTCAGTGAAGAGAAAGTTATGGCCCGGACAGACGAAGTGGCTGGGTGGGTGGTTAGCGGGTGCTCTGGTTTACGCCTTCTTTTTCCGGTCAAACGTCTATTGACCTTATCTCTGCCCCCTCCTTCTTTTCAACGAACAATGTTACTGATTAGCGATACCTCTGATCTTCGGCACTTACTCAACCCATCTTCCTTCTTGTCTTTGAACGTTACTGATAAGCAACACCTCTAATTTTCAGCACTTGCTCAACCTATTTGTGTTGCACGTGCTGTAAAACTCTTATTTTTTAAATAATAAGATGGGAGTGTCTCTTATGGTAAGAGACAGCTGTCCTCTTTTGATGCTGGCGCAGTGTCCAGTGTGGTCGGTCCGTGTGCTGCCACGTGGCTGTAAACGGTGCGGATCAGTTCACCGTACCGTACGTTCTCACTCTCCTGTCTTACTTTCCCCTTTGTTATTTTTGTCTGTCTGTCTGTCTGTCTGTCTGTCTGTCTGTCTGTCTTACTTTTTCCCAGCACTAAATGACCATCATTGTGTCGATGTGCTTCTCGTTACTCTTTTGTGACACCTCTAATCTTCTGGCGCTCATATGACCTTATGCAGTTGCGAACGCCGTAAAACCTCTACTAAAACTAAACGTTACTCAAACAGTCTCGTGTTATCCCCCGCCAGTGTTCGACCTTGTTGTAACTTGTAGTCATGTGATAATAACTCTTCTGTATTCTAATTGTCTTTGGCACTCATATGACCTTATGCAGTTGCGAGCGCCGTAAAACCCTCTACTAAAAAAAGATTCAGAGTCTGTCATGGGCATATGTGTGAGGCATCGTGGGGAAAATCAGGCGCTCATCAAAATAATGCAATCAAAGACACTGGCATTTTCCCTTGGCGTTGGCCAATATTTTTTGTTTTTTGTTTTGGCTCAACACTTTTTCTGTCCGTTTAAAAACACTTTTATGTGTTGATATTTATGAAAATCGTTGATTAAAGTACAAAAAATTAACGCTATCAGTTTCCAAGGACTCTGAAGAGATATATATATATATGGAAGTGGAAGTGACCAAACTTTGGCTGACATTTTCTCACTAATTTTACTGCTGAAACCAAGTGACCTAGGCCTCCTTCAATGGCAAATACCTCAACTTCTATACATAATAGACGAATATTTTTTTCAGCGAAATGTACTCAAATACACAAGCTTAAAGTTGACATCAGTCTCAATAATATGTCCCTGAATTGATGAGCACCTGATATCCACCGCGCCGTCACACATTTATATAATATCTCTCTTCTCCCCCCCCCCCCCCCCCTCCCCTTTCTGCTTTGTTACATGCTTTGGAGTGTTTGATCGAGGAAGCTTTTGTGTGTGTGAGGAGAGAGGCTGTGTGTGCTAAGGAATTAAGCTTTTCAAAACACTGAGTATCAAATTGTATGAAATTTGTGTGTTCACAAGTGTGTCATCATCTGTGTGTCTGGGCTTGGTTTTTTTTTTGTTTTTTATTTCAGAGTGCAATGGCAGGTGTGCTTGTTCGTGTGTGTGTGTGCGTGCGTGCGTGCATGCATTTGGCAAAACTACTGAGGGTGTGTCCATAATTTGATGTGTGTGTTGATTTATTTGTCTGAACTATTGAGAGTGTGTCCATACTTTGGTGTGTGTGCGTATGTGTGTGCGTATGTGTGTGTGTGTGTGTGTATGTGCGTGTGTGTGGAGCAAAGAGAAGCCGGCTAGTGTACATAGTCTACACACACTACTGTACAGGAGCGACTCTGCTACAGACAATAAACCTATTATCCAACCACAGACTTCCTCCCATCTGTTGCCTGCCTGGTAAGATCAGGGTCTGCTCATAACACAAGTCTGCTTTCTTCTTTCTCTGTCTGAGACAGTGTATATATATAATATATAAGTTAAGAGTATATATATATATAGAGAGAGAGAGAAAGAAAAATGCAGACATGTGTGTTATGTTATTATATATATAATACATATTATATACATATATATAATACATATTATATATAATACATAT